TCCGCCAGGAAGGAATTGTCAAGGACAGTCCTTGTTTCGAAGATCGGAGCTTGCATATATTATGGGTATATTTGCTCTCTCTTCTTATCAGATCTCTCCAATGACGCAATACCGATTGACTTCTCGCCTATATCACACAGGAACTATACCGACGAAGAACGGTTACTTGTTAAGCCCAGGATCTCCACAAATTTACGTGCCGTGGAAATCGGTTTAAATGTGTCTGCAGAATATGCCACCTAAGACATGCATGTATGCAACGCTGTGACATCTGTATTCCCAGTACCTATCCATCTACCCCACGCCTTTCGCTGTCAAGTGGCGTCGTTCCGAGAAGCCGCGGCTCCATTCCGACAGACCGTGAGTTCCCCCACCAACCACGCCCTACGTACGTACATACACCGTTCGCAAAAACGCGCCCTTGGATGTACATTACCAGCCTCCATTCGAGTCCCAATCAAAATAATCATCCGAGGAAAGAGACACTGATATATAAATAAACACCCAACAAGTCCCCTTGTCAGCTCCCCCATCCTGCAACCCCAGGGTCCCTTCAACACTTTAACCTTGCTACATAAACCGCATCCACCCGCATCAGCCCCACCACCTCCTTCCCCCCTCGCTCCATCCTCCCTCCGACATCGCGCCCCCTCCCCCCCAAAACCACCTCTCCCTCTCTGTCCAAACAAACAATCACCCAAAACAAATACATGCACCTCCTCCTCCTCCGTCGCACTCTTCAATCCTCCCCACGAAGTCTAATCCGCACCGTAACACCTGCGTTCTACAACCGTACCGTCTTTGCACAACAACGCACCATGAGTTCGACATCGCAGCAACCGCTCCAAGAATGGCTCGTCATCGTCCCCGACCACAAAGAAGCGCTGAGCAAGCGTCTCGCAGTCCGCCCGAAGCATCTCGAAGGAATGAAAGCGGATAGAGAAGACTTTTGGCTTTGGGGTGGTACGTGTTCCCCTCCCCTTTTTTTCCCTTCCCTTCCCTTCTCTTCTCCCTTGTTTATTTTCTTTCTTTCTTTCTTTTTTTTGGGGGGGGGGGGGTAAGATTTGTCAAGATTACAGGTGATTGTGACTAACGCGCAGAAACAAATAGGCGCCATGCTCGAAGAACCAATTCAACCCGGCGATACGAACCCACCTAAAATGAAGGGCTCGGCTTGCTTGGTTGGCGCTGCGACGCGTGAGGAGGTGGTGGAGAGGCTGAAGAGGGATGTCTATGTCAATGAGGGCGTGTGGAATTGGGATGAGGTGCAGATTATTCCGTTCAAGAGTGCGATTCGGAAGGCGTTGTAAAGGAAGGAGACAAGGATCGGAATAGATATGGTATGTGTTTGTTTTGTTTTGTTGTATTGGGAGATTTATGGACTGAGATTGGCAGAATAAGTTTGTATGTCGTAGACTAGGTTCACTATAGGATATGTTACTTGCATGTGCTGTGCATGTTTGTACAGCAAGATGTCGTCAAGTACTACCTTCAGCTGTAGTTTGTAGATTCCATCCCGCAAGCAGCTCAGTCGTTGCAATCGCACCGATTCCCACACCAATAGTAGCAACCACCACCACTAATAGCATACATCACTCCAGGAAATTGATATGATAAACACGTTTATCTTTATAACTAAATATATGTTTACTACATATACTAGAGCGTAGGGGTAACATAACAGGACCTAACTCATAAACTCATTCCTCCATGCCTATATGGCGAGCATCTCCAATCATAAAAACAGCGAACCTCATAAACAAAACATGATATGAGCAACACAAACCGGGTGCTAATGCTCATCCACCCCACCCATGACCAGTATCCAAACAACCACCCTTTAACCGCTGCACATGACGCAGGCCTCAGGGTTCTCTATTGAGCAAGCAAGGACAGCATCAGCATAAATGTCGCCATCGCGGGCTGCGCTATCGTCCTTGGAGTCTTCGTCTTGCTTGGCCTTATTTGAAAGCTCCTCATCTTGCTTGCCAACAGCATCTGCGGCAACCATCTTTGGGCTGTCACCCTCATCTACATCAGCCTTGAAAGGTTTGCTGGCGAGGGCATTCTTGCTCTCTGGGGCAACATCTGTCTTGGCAACAACGTTTTCGCCATTGGTACCTTCCTCGGACTTGGTAGCATACATCGGTCGTGGGGCTGCTGGCGATGAAACACCAGAGCTACGGATTGCCTCCGGCACGAAGCCTGGTTGCTTTCGCACCTTTGGTAGAGCACGGGCAACGTTGGTGTCTGCAACCTTGAGAGCCTCCTGGTCGACAGTGAACTGAATTGGAGCAGAGGCGGCCATGGTACGGAGGTAGTACATGCCAGTCTTGAGACCAAGCTTCCATCCAGCGAAGTGCATCGAGGTGATCTTGCCCATGGTTGGCTCCTTCATGTGGATGTTCAGCGACTGTGACTGATCAATGAACGCACCACGGTCAGCAGCCATCTGAATGATGGTTCGCTGCGAGATTTCCCAAACGGTCTTGTAGAGCGTCTTGGTCTCCTCGGGGATGTTGGGAATCCTTGCAATAGAACCACCCTCGGCAATGATGCGGTTCTTCATGTTCTCAGACCACAGACCCATGTCAACAAGATCCTTGAGTAGCCATGGGTTGACAACCTGGAACTCACCCGCGAGCACACGACGAGAGTAGATGTTGGAGGTGTAGGGCTCGAAGCACTCGTTATTTCCGAGAATCTGGGAGGTTGAGGCAGTTGGCATGGGGGCGATGAGCAAAGAGTTGCGCACACCATGCTGGGCAATTTTGGCCTTCAACTCTGCCCAGTCCCAGAGATCGGTAGGGGTGACGTTCCACATGTCATATTGGAGGATTCCCTGAGAGACGGGAGATCCCTCGTATGTCTCATATGGACCAAGCTCCTTGGCAATGTCGCAGGAAGAGGTGAGAGCAGCGTGATAGATGGTCTCGAAGATCTGAATGTTGAGCTTCTTGGCCTCTGCAGACTCGAAGGGTAGACGTAATGCGAGGAAAGCATCGGCAAGACCTTGCACGCCCATACCGATAGGTCGGTGACGGAAGTTGCTCCGGCGTGCCTCCTCGACGGGGTAGTGGTTGACTTCAATGATCTTGTTCAAGTTGCGGGTGACAACCTGAGTGACCTCGTGGAGCTTCTGGAAGTCAAACTCACCACGCTTGTAGTCGACAAAGGAGGGCAGAGCAAGAGAGGCCAAGTTGCAAACAGCAACCTCATCAGGGGCGGTGTACTCGACAATCTCCGTGCACAAGTTGGAGCTACGGATAGTGCCCAAGTTCTTCTGGTTGCTCTTACGGTTGCAAGCATCCTTGTAGAGCATAAAGGGGTTACCGGTTTCGGTCTGGGCTTCGAGGATGGCATACCACAGCTTCTGGGCGCGGACAGTCTCACGGCCCTTGTTCTGCTTCTCGTAGCTCTCATACAGAGCCTCAAACTCATCACCGTAGACATCAGCGAGGCCGGGGCACTCGTTGGGGCACATGAGAGTCCACTCGCCGTTCTCCTGGACACGCTTCATGAACAGATCGGGGATCCACAGAGCGTAGAACAGATCACGGGCACGAACTTCCTCCTTTCCGTGGTTCTTGCGGAGATCAAGGAAGCCAAAGACATCAGCATGCCACGGCTCAAGGTAAATGGCAAAAGCACCGGGACGCTTGTTACCACCCTGGTCGACGTAGCGAGCGGTGTTGTTGTACACACGGAGCATAGGAATGAGACCGTTTGATGTTCCGTTGGTGCCACCAATGTATGAGCCAGTAGCACGAATTCGGTGGACGTTGAGACCAATACCGCCAGCGGTCTTGGAGATCAAGGCACAAGTCTTGAGTGTGTCGTAGATACCGTCAATGCTGTCCTCCTTCATATCGATGAGGAAGCAAGAAGACATCTGAGGTGAGGGAGTGCCTGCATTGAACAGCGTCGGGGAGGCGTGTGTGAAGTACTTTTGTGACATGTAGTCATAGGTCTCAATGGCCTTCTCAATGTCTTCGCCGTGGATACCAACAGCGACACGCATGAGCATGTGCTGCGGACGCTCAGCAACCTTGCCATCTATGCGGAGGAGGTATGAACGCTCAAGCGTCTTGAAGCCAAAGAATTGGTAGTTGAAGTCTCGGTCGTATACTATAGCCGAGTTGAGCTCCTCTGCGTGATCCTGGATAACCTTGTAGACAAAATCTGAGATCATAGGCTGGTGCTTGTCATTCTTTGGGTTGACGTAGTTGTAAAGATCTGCCACGACTGCAGAGAATTGCTTCTTTGTCTGCTTGTGGAGATTTGATACGGCGATACGGGCTGCAAGGATGGCGTAATCGGGATGTGTGGTGGTCATGTAGGCTGCTGTCTCGGCGGCCTATTGTGTGTCAGGGATGGTGAGGGGCATGAGGCACGTTCACAGGCCTACCAAGTCATCCAGTTGGGTCGTGTTGACACCCTGGTAGACACCAGAGATGACCTTCATTGTGATGGCGGCGGGGTCGACATGGTCGGGATCAAGGCCATAACATAGCCTCGACACACGAGCTGTGATCTTGTCGAACTGCACACGTTCCTTACGTCCGTCTGGAAGCAATTGTTAGCATGGGGAGAAAGTTTGCAGCCAGGAGAATCGGAGGCGGTGAAGGCAAGATGGTACATACCACGCTTGAAGACGAACATGTTGAATTAGAAAAGTCCTACGACTAAAGGGTATCTGGTACTTGTGTATATGAAAGGAGGGTTGAGTATGAAGAAGAGCGTGCAGACCAGGAGGGGTGAGTGGGTGCAGGGACTTATAACGCGCTTGGAGGGTCTGAAAGAAACGCGTCGCGTTGCTTAGGTCACGGATTAGTGTTAAGTGCTTGCATAATCCGCGGCCATAGTAGACGCAGGGGTGGGGTCGGGTAAACGCCGGCTGGCCGCCCGAACTTTTCGTGGGTTGGAGGTATTGCATACTGCGACAGCATCCACGCCCTGCACACCTTCCCCCCACGACCTAGTCGACCCAATTGCCAGTCATGGCGGGCGGTCATATGAAATATCGCCATCTCAGCCGGTCGTCGGCGCATCGCCAGGCGCTCCTGCGAAACCTCGTCACATCGCTCTTCAAGCACGAAACCATTGCGACGACATGGCACAAGGCAAAGGAAGCTCAGCGGTTAGCCGAGAAACTCGTCACACTTGGAAAGAAAAACACAGAGGCTACGAGGCGGAGAGCGACACAGATCTTCTATGTATGGATGGCCGGGAGTGGCAATAGCAATGGCATACTGACGGGCGTCAGGAACCGAACGAGATGGTACCCAAGTTGTTTGGCCCTATAAGAGAACGATATGCAAACAGACCCGGTGGATACACGCGCGTTCTTCGAATTGAGCCTCTCAAGGAAGATCAGGCCGAATCCGCTATCCTCGAACTCGTTGATGGACCAAAAGACATGCGCTTTGCTCTGACAGCAAAGACGCTAGCACGGAGGCCCGCAAAGCTGGGTCTGAGCCCAGGACTTACGACACACGTCAAGAAGGTCACGCAATTCCGTGAAGGAGGCGTTGAGAGCCTGCGTGAAATGGTTCAGAGGTTGCGGGTAGAGCAAAAGGAGGGCATAGACGACAGGATATTACCACCACCACGAAAGGTATATCCCGAGGACAAGATGAAGCGGGATATGCATTACTTTGAGGATGTCGACTACTACAAGCCAGCAAACCCTGTGAAGCGAAGGAGTGCTAGGAAAGAGCAAGCAAAGCAGAAGCTGATAGAAGATGTTGTGGTCGAAGAGCAGGCAGCGGCCCCAGAGACCAAGAAGGAAGTGTCATGAGGGTTCGGCAGCCCATGTATAACTTATGAATGTGCAATATTACCTCGATATGGAGGCTACATTTGACCGAGCAGCTAAGTAAGCCCATGGGTTTGGTTGGATATACGGAGTGAAAACTACTCCTAGACTCGCAACGCATCAGTGAATACGCCATTTTGAAAGTCCACAACCGTCGCCTTTTCCACGACTGCACTAGCAGCCTCTTTGAATGCCTTGTGGGCTGGATCTTGATTCACATAGTAGTCCCGATCTTCAATTGAGTGGAACTGCAAGACGAAAGCATGACTGATGCCATTCTAACAAAGTAAGCATCCGAGTGATGGGCCTTGTGTTGGGGGGCGGGCCCAGGTACCTGGAGGTTTTCCGTCGAGATGTCCCTGCCGCCTGCGACTGAGACGATGTACGGCCTCCCCGAAGTTGGATGCACACACTCCTTGGTCAGTGCAAAGAAGCGGGAAGTGATCTATCAGCAACCAGACTTAGTAACTCGTCGAGACATGCAGAGTCGCTGTCATCACCTGCTTGATGGCAAACGCACTGGCGCCCTGCTTGAACTGGAACAGGACGAGATGCGTGGTGTATGGTACAACGGGTGCATGAGGCCCAAAGAAAGACTCTGCGAGCGAGTGTCCCACGGTGCGCGAGAAGAGCAGAAGACTAGTGCCGAGCAGCAGCAGCAGCAGGACGAGGCCATATGCCTTGTTTGTTATCAACATGGCCGCTGGGTGGTAGTAGCGCAGAGGGGGGGGCGCGAGGATATGCAGACTAGTAGATGTAGTCGTATGTATGGGACAAAGCAAGGAACGAGAGTCGCCAACGACGTGGACTGGCGCGGGATTCCATTGTGTTGTGGCCAGATGCAGCCAAAGGCAAGGTGTATGTTTGGGACACGGGGGCGAGGGGGGATTGGAGCGCTATGCCTGTTCCAAGGCATATAGCCGCAATCTACTTTTGGGGTGGAAGCGCAGGTGGGCAGCGGGCAGCGGGCAGAAGAGGTAAAAGACGGGGTAGGGGTGGGCCCGAGCTCCCCTGTTCATGTGCTGTCGGCCGGTTCCCCGCCTATCGACCTGTGACGTACCTGATCGCCCGCGTCCGCATCAACAACAAACCGCTGCAACTGCAACAATGCACAATGCACCGCACGTCCACGCCCAGCCGTCACCTTTTCCGCGCTTTTCCCTCGAGCATGCTAAACAAGTCCATTTGCTCGACTAATCAGTGGCACTCCAGTCCAGACCCGCGCAAAGTGGATGCGCATGCGTCAATTGGCAACAACGCGCGGGCTGGGGGCAGGTTCTGGGTCCAATTGCTCGCAATGAGTGGGGCCTTGGCAGATACGTCATTGGCATGTCAGCTGCAAACATCGTGAGTACAAAAAGAAGCTTGCACTCCATCGAAGAGTGCCCTTCGTCGACACTTCACTCCAGTTCCCATACACAAACTCCCTCATCTTCAAACCCCTACCATCAACACAATGGCCTCCCTTCACTGTAAGCGCTGCCTTTGCAACCACCACTGCATACTGAGCCATCCATATGGCATTGGGCATACCCATGGTGTCATGTCAGGTTGAATTGCAATGAGAACCCCTCACTGACTCCTTCTCCTTGACAGACCTCCCTCCCGTCAAGCCTTCGGCCATTGCCCTCGGCACTGCCTTCAACCACGCCGTCTCTCTTGCAGTCCTCGGCCCCATCTTCGGTGATGCCTACCGTCGCGCCCAGCAAGCAAACTCCAAGGAGGAGTACTTCCACTCCAAGGAGGCCGCCACCGCCGCCGCTTCATGGGGAAGCTCCATCCTCGGCTCCGGTATCCAGGCCTACGGTGTTGGTGCTCTCATCAACGCTACCGGCACCCTCACCTACAAGGGAGCTGCCTACCTTGGTTCTTTGATCTTCTTTGCTTCTGCTGCCCCATCGGTAAGTCATCGGGTGACACAGTACCTGCAAGGATACATTGGCTAACATGCATACAGATTGTCTCCCAAGTCGTCACTGAGAAGCGACCCATGGACACGATTGCCATTGGTGCCGTTGCCCGCGTCCTCGAGACTGTCGGCCTCAGCATGTTCCTCACCTACTGGGGTACCCGCACCAACCCCTTCGACTAAGCGCCTCATAATGTTCCCCGTAAAAAGGGCACAAGGTGTTTAGGGATTCTGCTCCGTCTGCAGCTTGATTGGACAGACAGGACACAGATGACATGAGTTTTCTTAGCGGAAAGAAGCGGAAAATTAGCCTTTTCTCTATGATGTAATATATACCATCAATGAACAATGTAATTTCACTTCACTTTTGCCCCTGACATGTCGTGATAGGGCGGAAAACTCGTGTTGTGATCTTGCCCTAGTGTTTTATGTGAGAGATCTGTGTGGGGTTCGCAGATAGGCATAAAATATATCAGTAAGAGTGAACTACGACGAATTCTTACGGTGTTACCTAAGGTTCGGATAATACTACATACTTTATGCACGTGACTTTGGCTTCATGGGCCCGAGGAGTACCCGATGGATCCCCGGGGTCGGCCTCCAGTTCAGAGTGTTGTAACACAGAGCCCTGATCGGACATAACTAACCATAAAACGAGATGGAACCGAAATGGCCCTCACATGGTCGCATGCTAGCGTTGTGGCGTTTTACTAATATGGCAGATGTTAGCGATATGATCCGTTTCTCTTGCTACCCATTGGGTGCTCAATGGTTCCCAATTCTCCGCCTCGCAGTCGGCCTTACCCGACCTCAGTACATAAAACAGTGGCTGCAGGTAGCTTTGCGATATCAAGTATTCGTTGGACAATCGTACGGAAAAGTTCTTAATATAGCAGCAACAGATTATATGTCGATTCAGCCTTGCGGGCATCGCACCCTTATCAGTTAGCCATGCTTCCAAAATATACGTATTAATCCACGGTCTATTTGCACGTTGTCAAGTCACAACACCTTGTCGCTCTCTCATTCTTCTCAAAAATAAACCATATCGTTTCGAAGCCACCATGTCTCTGCAAGACGGGGTTTCATATACTGCAATCCCGAAGTCGATGGTTGCGAAGAATACAGAGTCCCCACCCAGCCCGCCAGATACTGAGGAAAACCCGGTGCAATGGCACATTTCCCTTCGCACTCCGTTCTCTATGCTAGTCCCATTTGCTTCTGGTATTCTCGTCTCAGTCGGACACCATCTTTTCTACTCCTACCTTGACGGTTCAGCGGTGCAAAACCCAGATGAAGGATCACAATACCTTACCCAAATTTGGATTATTCGATATGGCACAGCTTTTGCCTTTCTTTCAAAGGCTCTGCTTACAAGCGCAGTCGTTGTAGCATACAAACAGCACATATGGATCAACCTGCGGGCACGAGCCAATCCTATTTCTACCATCGATGCCATGTTTGCGGCCACATACGACATCCTAGCCTTTTTGAATCCAAGCCTGCTACTAAAGGCAAAGATCTTATCACTAATGGCTTTCATAATCTGGTACCTATGCTCACTGTTGGGGTAGTTGAACGTCACTGACTGTTTCAGGTTCCTTCCGCTTGCAGCTTTGATTACACCATCAACACTGACTGTTGCCCCTTCTATACGAGAGAATACGACCATGATGCATGTACCGACACTCAACTTCAATGACTCGTCACTTTACACCTTCTCAGGACTTGGCGACGGCTCCTCTCCCTTATTGACACGTCTTACATTTGCCACGCTGTCCAACATGCAAATTCTTCCCCTGCAAGCTATCGCTGCAAACACAACATACCACCATGAGTTCCTGGGACCATCATTGAAATGCGAGCCTGCGACAGGACAAAGATTGGAGGACGTCAATAATATTTGGAACACAACTTTCGAGCGCCTTCAAGCGAGCGCAGGCGGCCAAGTTATGTATCTGGCTTACACGAGGCAGGATACTAGTACCAGTAGCCCGCTACTCAACCTACAAGACTTTGTAGACGAGTGTGTGCTGTCGGATCGACCTGGTCCCTCATGCGGTGAAAGCTATGATCCGGCAATTTCGGTACGAGTCGGCGACGAATCTATTTCGTGCACACTATACGACACCCATTTTGACCTCGATTTTCGAGCCGTAGGCAACACACAAACCCTTGCTGGGTTACATTTTGAGTGGCTTCAAAAGAGCGATTGGGGAAATGGATCATTCAAGGCAATCTCGCGTGCACTAGCGACAATACTAAATGGCGCGATAGGCGCTTGGGCAAGCGGGCCACAGGCCCACCAGGATGATAGCGGTTCCTCTGGCCTCTCCACTTATCAAACAAGAGTAATGTCTACTGCTTTGATTGGTTTCGTATCTACTGCTTTCTCTGCGGGAGTCGGGCGCTTGTTACATGATCTTCCACAAGAGGACCGCGACTTGGCCACCAACAGAACCCTTGGAGGAATGATAGAAGAGCTGTCTCGAAACCAAACACTCAGCCTTTTCAGCAGCGACCGGCTATGGTAAGTCTGAAGGCCTGACCCTCTTTCCCCCAGATGTCGATTATGTATATCTTGTTGCCTTTTTTCTGACACTGGGCCCTCCTCACCAGGCTTCCACAAAACGCCACGAACACAACACTTGTCACACATTCGACCTTTACCACGATTTACGAATACCGCTCGCGAAACCTCATCATGACATATGCCATTGCCATTGCCTGCTCAGCTTTTGGCGTTCTACTAGGTTTACGTGCCCTGTGGCTCAATGGCATCTGCCACGAAACGAGCTTTTCTTCCATCATGAGTACAACGCGGAACAAGTACCTCGACGACTTGACACTCGGATACTCGCTCGGATCTGCACCTACCCCGAATGCTGTCAAGAAGATCGAACTGAGGTTTGGCGAGCTGCTAGACGTTGGGTCAAGGGAAAAATCACGGGCGGCGTTTGGGCTCGAGACAGATGTGGTTTCTCTAAGGAAAGGACGGGTGATTCATTGAGTCCTCAAAGAGGTATATGTGATTGATTTTGATGAAAACAAAAAAACTAGGGAATATTTTCTATTACAACAATACTCCGTAGAGCTTATAGAGTAGACAAATCTTTTTTGTTGATACCCGATTCCCCCAGGTTGGGATGTAGCCTGTCATTATTTTTTTCTGAGATAAACAATCTGATACGCTATAGTTATAGTAAATAGAGAAGAAAAAAAAAGTCAAGCCATATAGCAAACAGATCAAAGAAATCACGTCATCTATCCCCCTTTATATTACACACGCTGAGCACTTGGCGCTTTCTGATAAAACTATGAGAATTATAGTGTTTTTTTTTGTTTAAATAACATTTCCCATTTCGTCAAGTTACTTGCATGAATGGGACCAGACCAAAACATGTATGATCTTCATAATGCTGATAACAAATAGGATCTTTTACTCGAATAAAAGAGAGATGTGGGGAATTCAATTCTGATAATCATCGTTGGACGTTTTTTTTTGAATGAGGGAGATGATGGTAACAAGTGTTTGCTAGATGTATTTCTAGGTGGAAGGATTGAAGATGCATATACACAAGTAGTTGATTTCAGGCGTAGATCAATAATAGGGGACGACGGTTACCATAGTTTAGGATTCCGCTGCCAAGTTTCTTCTAATCTCATATTTCACATAAAACGATGAATCTGAATTTGATCTAAACTAATTAGACGTCTAAAAATAGGTAAAATCTCTACTTCTAAATTAAGAGTCTACGAGTACTAGGAGTCTTAAATATGTATATATAATACACAGAGTGTAAATAAACTTCATCTCTTCCACTCCTTCCACGCTTGCACAAAGCTCTTTCCACTCCCACTGTAATCCCCCAATGCACATGCCACTCTCTCTCCATCCCGCTCACCCAGACCCACAAACGGCACCATACTCGGCCTACCATGCGCACACATAAAGGGGAACACACACTCTGCGAGCTTCGTAACCAACTCTCTACACTCTGCAAGACTCAGTTCGTCGTTAAACATGATTGCCGAGCGACACGCACGAGAACTGATTAGGTTGATAAGGGCAGGGGGACAAGTTGATAAGGCGCGAACCCAAGCCTTATCCCCTTTTGTCGAATCCCCTTCTTTTTCCAAAAGGGAAGAAAGGGTATCAGGAGGTGGAAGATGAACACGTCCCTCAGCATACCCCCAAACCGTCGATCTGAGCATCGAAATCAGAACCTTGGGATCCACCACACATCGTTGAGCAATTACAGGTGGAAGCGCAGTAACCAACAGTAGTGCTTCACATTTCCCCTTCTTTTTCCGCGTCTCAAGAGACCCTTGGTTCGACGAGGGCGGCGGTGGTACGTCGTATACGATGCCCCAAGCAGCGAAACGCGCAGCGTGGGTTATGAAAAGAGATTGTTCTTGCGGGGACACGGCGAAACTGAGGGGTTTCTCGAGGGTCAGCGATGCGATGCCGGGTTTATGGCAGAGTTGCGAGGATGAGTAGGTGTGAGCGGAGGGAGTGCAGAGTTGTTGGAAGAGGGATTCGACTTGGATGCGTTCGTCGGCGGCGTGTTGGTCGATGAGGACGAGGATGTCGTTGCTTTGGGATGCGGGCTGCATTCTTACGAGGATGAATTTCTTGTCGACTTGGGAGATTACTTGGGCGGTGTGGAGGCCTAGCTTTGAGAGTTTGCTGGAGATGCTGGTAGTATTTGTGTCAAAAGACTTGTCGGTGAGATGGGAGCAACTGTGCATGAGCTGGTTGTGGTGATTGCCGAGTTTGTCTTGGTCGTTTGTGATTTGTTGAATACGCTGTTCACTGGGCTTGAAGATGGGGTTTTCCCAGTTCTGGAGTATATTGTCTAACCAGGGCGTGGGCTTTGCTGTGGCTGTTGAGGCTCGACTCGGTAGACGAATCGACTTGTTTATAGACTTTTGATCAGACCTGAATGTATTTGTAGAAGGGTCTGTATTCGATCGTGGTTGCACATTTGGCATCACGCAACCTGTCCTAGCATTCAAAATATGAGTATCTCCAGTTGAAGGATCCGTCCACAGTATACTGTCATCATTCTCTTTTTCTTCAGCACTGGAAGTTTCGCTCATAGAAGGAAGCACGTTTTGTGCCATGGGTGCGCCGAATGCGCCTTGGGCGATAGGCTTCATGGCGAATGAGGGAAAAGGTT